GGTCCTGCAGGAACCAGCCTGTGGGGAGAAGCGTACCTCTCTCCACTGGCCAGCACCATTGGGTTTGTTTTCTTTGGCAGAAAGCTTAATCCTTGGTCACTTTCAGAACTGGAATGGAAAATTCTGGTACAGCTTTCTTAATATTGGATCCTTGGTTCCTTCTTTGTTTGTTTTCCTCCAGTCTTTGGTTTGCAGAGACTGCTGGGTAGTTCTGCCCCGAGAAGACTGAAGGTATCACACGGGCCCCACCCTGCAATGAACCTCAGGGACAAACGACCCCGGCTGGGGCCTGGCACTCACAGCAAGCCTGGACAGCCGGACGGCCCAGGCACAGAGGGGGGACCTGAGTTGCTGTGGATCCAGGACCACCTGTTCCGCACCCCTTTAAACACGCCCACTGTTCTGAGTTTCTGCAGCCGCGGGAGTGTCCATGGGTCCGGCCAGCAGGTGTGTCCCCTCACCTCACCCCACTGTGCGTAATCCCCATTATGAAGTGAACATTTTTTTTTTTCCTGTAAGAGAGAGGCCTGAGCCATTCTTCCTAATTAAAATTTGAAGATCAAAGAGCACCCCCTCTCCTTTGAAGCTCACTCAGAGGAAGCCTGAACCCCTGTGGGTATCACTGCAGAGAACCCCTCTAATGCACCACGGGGGGGGGGGGCACCATGGCTGTTCTAAGTTGCTTCTCAGAGGTTTGGAGGAGACCTTGTCTGGCTCATACTGGCTGAAGTCAACAAATCCACCTACTCTAAAAATTGTGAACAGGCAGCCAGGGGGTCCACAACTCACCCCAGATCATTCATACTAATACATCATTTTCTCCACATCTTATGAAGCAGCAAGACGTTTGCTCGCGCACGGACCACCGATAACTTCACCCTTCTTCACCTCAACTACCTTTCCCACACCTCAGACACATCTTTCCATCCCATAAGTACTCCTAAGCTCTGGGGAGACAAACACAGGTCCGGGAGCTCCCCAGTGGGTTAAGCTCCCTGGCTTCTGTACAGTCACTGCTTCAAGAGCTAGCTTACTGGGTGGCAGGTAAAGTCCAGTTTGGGTACCCCCAGGACACAGCGCCCAGGTGAGAAGGCTGAAAACAACGCCTTGCCCACACGCTAACAAGCCCCATGCAGAAGCACGGAGCTGCCTCACAAGCTTCTCTGAAGAAACCCACGCTGCAACCAGATCAGGATGGTAATGGTTAGGGGCTCTGCCTGAGCCTGCAGGGATGCACTATTTCTGAAGTCTGTCTCAACTTCCTCGAGGTCCTTCAGAAAGCAGACAAGGCACACCTGCCCTTTGGTGCTCACTGTGTATCATGGCTCCCTTTGCTGAAGTATCTTTATACACAAACTTTCATGGCATTGGTCCAGGGTGCAGCTCATTCACTCTGCATTTCACCACCACCCAGGCAGGAACAGCTCCAGAGCCACGTGGCTGCTGAACTAAGACCTGTCAGTGATTTATTATCCAAGTGCGGGGTACACTTCAAGGACATCTTACATGTACCCGGAAGTCTCACAGTGAGACTTGGTCATTGTCCTTGTGTTAGGTAGGGCTCTGGGTCTGGGGCAGCAACTGGAGGTAGAGACGGCAGCAAGCAGCCTATGGGGGTGGCGCACTCCTTTAATCCCAGCACTTGGGAGGCCCAGACAGGCGGCTCTCCCAGAGTTCAAGGCCAGCCTGGTCTACAGGGTGAGTTTCAGGACACCCAGGGCTACACAGAGAAACCCTGTCTCAAGAAAGAAAAAGAAAAAGACTGCAGCAAGCAAGGGAATTTAGACTTGTGGGCCCAAGCCTCTGGTTTGTGAATAAGAATTCCTGGAAAGAAGTGGTGTCTGCAGGGCGGGAGAGATGGCTCAGAGGTTAAGAGCACTGGCTGCTCTTCCAGGGCACCCGGGTTCAGTTCCCAGGACCCACATGGCAGCTCACAACTGTCTGCAACTCCAGTTCCAGGGCACCTGACACCCTCACAGAGACCTAGATACATCCAATCGCTAACAGTATGAAGGAGCAGACTCCTCGTTCCATCAGCCAGATAGATCGTCTCCAGGCCCTCGGCCCTCTTCCCCATCATCCCATCACCCGGCTGCCTGATAGACCCACATGTATTCTCCAAGTGTCTTAATTTATGGCTTTATGTTCTGTTCTGGTCCTACAAAAGAACTTCATGAAACTTTCTACATTGGAACATGGAATTTGGAGTGATCTAAATCAGTGTTCCCCGGCCACAGCCACTTATATCTGGCTCCAGAATAAACTCTTTATTCCTTTGAGATGGGAGTGTTTTTGCATCAACAGGCCTCAGCTATACCAGCCCTGGCTTGGCAGCTCTTCAGGTCAGTGTCCCGAGGTCAGAACCGGTCAGCACCAGCAGCCATGACACTTAGCTGCAAGGGGATGGTGAGGGAGGGATCCATCACGCTGGTGCAACGCATTCGAGCCGGACTTATAGAAACTGCTCAGAATGTGGGAATGAGAAAACGATCATGTTTTCTTCAGACAGGGCCTCACTGTCCAACAGAGGCTGGCCACGACCTCCACGTCATTCTGGCTCCATCTCCCAAGTGTTGGGATTATAGGCATGTACCGCCAGGCCCAGGAACCTGTTGTTTTATCCCAAGGGACTAAGTAGGAAGTATTTTCGAGTATGCTCTCCAGCCCTGAGCCAGAGTGCTATAGGTTAGAGAGGCTGGAGTCCCAGAATCCCGTAACCAGCACTGTTGGGAACAGCCCTACCTACTTGGGACTTCCGTCAATTTTCCTGGGTCTCCAACAGTGTGCAGAGCAGACAGCATTCTAGTTTGCAGAGATGACTAATGCCTCAGAAGGAGCCTCTTCGGTGCTGAGGAGTCTACTGGTCTGGAGCCACCCAGGGTCCCCTGGCTCTTGGGTCACTGAGGCTTGATGGGACAGAGCAGGTGTGAGAGACATTTGGGAAACAGAAGTTAACCCTCACTCAGGCAGTTGTGCTTGGATGCACTAGCATTTCCCATCTTGTACCTAGCACTGGTCACATTACCTCTTATAAAGCTACTGCCATTATGAGCCTCACTCTAGAGATAAGGATGCTGAAGCTGAGAGAAGCTACTTCATGGAAGACATGATATTATACCGAGGCAGTCTGACTCCAGCGCCTAGGCATTAAAAGTCCTGCCATTTTCACAGACAGAATTCTGCTTGCTTTAAACCCAGTTCACGTCTCTCTCCCTCCTCCCACCCACTCAGCTCTGTTTCCCAACCCTGTCCCAGCTGACAGCTGTTGGGTGTGGTGGCACAAATCCCAGCAGGTAGAAGACTGAGGCAGGGGGAAAGCTCAATTCAATCTGGGCTACCCAAGAAGTCGAGGGTAGCCTGACCTGCACAGTGAGGGCATGTTATCGAGAGAACAAGGGGACGGGTGTGAGCCTGTCTGGCTTCACGTTCTGCAAGAAGACTGGCGTGTCGAGGAAGTACCAGCATGAGGAACCGGGCCATTTTTTAAAACACCCTGTGCTTGGGGCAATTGCGAAAGCAGCCATAGCAAACTCATCACTGCAAGGAGGAAGCTGTAACTTTCAACAGGTCCCTAAGGGAAGTTACCTGCTGCAGTGACCCAGCAAACAGAACGCCAGCAGTAACCTGGGCTCTGTGGAGAAGACCCACACAGCGACCAAGGGCATCAATCCCCACGCCTCCGAGCGGGCCGGTCAGATTTAAGCACCCCTAGGGCGCAGCTGTGATTTCTGTCCGTTCCCTTCAGCAGGGCACTCCCCAGCCTCAGGTCTCTTTCCCTCACCTTGCCTCCTGTCCCGCCAGTGCTGCCCACAGCATCACCCTTCCTCAGCCAGTACCCACTCAGCCTAATCAGGTAGTCTAGATTTTCTTAGAGAACCCAGGCAGCCACTGCACCCCTTTACACGGTTCATGAACTCCAGGGAAGCCTAAACTTCACCGTCCTCGTCGTCCCATACCATCTTGGAGCCAGGGCCCAGTTGCCAAGCTATTCCACCGGTCCACCAGCCTGGCTGCCTCTGGGTTTGTCCCCTGCCTGCTGCGAGCCCAGCTTTCCACACCTGCCGCCTCACCAACCTGGCTGCACTGGCAGATCATCCCTCACGCCCATCCGGACAAAAGCAAGTATTCGGTGCACTGACAGCCGTGACAGAGGTGGCGGGAGGACCCGCGGCACTTGTGAAAGCACCAGGCCACTTATGCCCATGCCTCATCTCCCCTCTCCCTCTGCCGAGGAGAGGACGGCCTCCAGTGACCCTGCATCCCCGGCCAAGGCTTTGTTCTCCGTGTACCACAGCCTTTGAGGTTTGCTGCCATTTCCTCTACAAACCTGACCTAGCCGCCAACGTCCGTTAATAACCAGACACCTCGGACTGACATCCGAGGGGATGAAACCCCAGCGCGCTCTCTCTGCATTCTAAAGCAAAGAACTTACCTCACTTCGCTTCTTCCCTTGGTCTATGAAAGCAGTACTTCCGGTCAGCCAGACTGGAAAACCAAATGGGAGATGCTTTCTGGCCGGAAATTCTTTTCTTTCAAAGGTCAAAGCAGTTGGTTCCAGTTGGAGTTGGGTCTGCAGTGGTTAACTTGATGCTGCTGTGGTCTTTCTGACATCCAGCCTTTGGCAGCTCTGCCGTTTCCTCTTTGTTACTGGAACTCTCTAGAAACTGAAAAACCCTGGCCAATACCGGCCACCTCTTACACTGGACACTCATCACCAGGAGAATAAGCTGTCAGCTCCTCCAAAGAGCACTGTTTCTCAGGACCTGTGCCACACGTCACCCACTGCATGCCTGACAGCCACTTTCTGTCATTCTCTTAGCCACTCTCTCAGGCTGAGAGACAAGGGACAAACAGGTCTGGCTCCAGCTGCCCCTGGCTCTGCAGGCTCCAGTCAGAGATCTCTGCCTCTCTTTCAAGTTTCCAGAGGCCCAGTAGCTTACAGAACACTTTTCCCTCAACTACCTTGGCCACTGCAGGGGCAAGAAGACACCACTACCAACAAGGATAAAATAAGTTTTTTATTTATATTCTTATAGTAAAGGGGAAGCCTTAACTTGCAAGACAATTCTTGGGCAGTATGTACAACATACTTTTTATTTCCATGGAATGGAGTCAAACACCGACTGAGACTACGGAGTATACACTAGCAATCAGCAAATGCCGGCAACAGAGTGGGCAAAGGACAGAGAAATGGAGCCCGAAGACAGGAAACCCTTCACTGGGATCTGCTGACCACAGCCAGAGCCAGGGCTGGATCACACAGTGGCGACAAGTTCCAGGACTGGAGTCAAGGAGGGCAGGGAGGCTGTGCTGGGCTGTGGGTTTAGTACCAGGTAAGTCGCTCTTGGTATTTACATACAAAATAGTTGGCTCTGTTTCTTAGAAATACACACAGGAGGAAATGAAGATTTGATCATTGCTTTATGAATCTGTCGCTTTACAATATCGACATCATCAGAAATAGGGGCATTTCATTCAGATTCAAATTTCAGTAGCAGGAAATAAATATCAAAACATCATCACTGGCCCTTAATACAAAACCTCTACCCCACCTAAGACTCCCTCCCTGTCCCACCCACAAATAACCACCCCACCACTCCCAGGAGGGAGGCCGGCTCACTGCTGCCATCTCCTGTACATACCAGTGTCACGTGACCCTCTGTAAGGCTGGCTCTGCAGACTTAAGCAACTGAAGAGTGAAACATGCCAAGGACTCTGCCAATCTGTCCCCGCTTTCCTTTACACCAGACTCTCCAAGAATCTGGTCTCTCAACAGGAGTGACAGCTTTCCCAAAAAACAATCCTTACAGGAGAGGGGCTTAATTCTCATTCCTCCAATCTGGTCATCTTGTCAAAGTAGAGCAGTTCGAGATTCACAAAGTCCACCAAACAGAGGTCAGGGACTGGGAGGGAGGGCCTAGCGGGCCAGGCGTCCTCCAGGCACACACTCTGAGGGCTGGAGGAGCTGGGGGCGTGGGCAGGACACCATGTACTCAGAGGTCTGGCCGGCTGTCTGTCCTCCACAGAAAGAGCTGCCAAGTTAGGGTGTTTTGGTTTAAAATTTCTGGTGGGGACAGGAACCCCTGAAGGGAATACATTTAAAAATAGTGGACACAGGGATGGGATGAGAGCTGTTGTCCAAGAGCGTCTATGCAAAAACAAGAATTAATAAAGAGGAAAGGAAAATACAGAGTCTTTCGATGGTTTTGAGGGTTCTAACGATGAACTGAGAGGAGGAGGAGGAGACGATGGAGATGACAGTTTTTATTGCTGGCCTGCCCCGCATGGCTTAGCTGGCCTCCATCCGGAGTTTCTTCCTGCTCTGGGGCTCTTCTGGCTCGGACTCTGAGCTGGAGTCTGAACCCCCATCGAAGGCAGAGATGGTGCCGCCCTTGGCGTTGGTGTAGAGGCTGCTGTCTGAGGAGGGGTAGCTGGTCTGCAGCTGGGCACTTGACCTTGCCTTCTCCAGTGCACGGACTAAAAGGCAACCAAGGGAGCATGTTACCACCTTCTGGAGATCCGGAGAAACCAAGTCTCAGACTCAGGGTCCAGCCTGTTCTTCCTAAGGGTTTGCTTGCTGGCCCCCAGGGCACAGGGTGGCTCAGAAATCATTCCCTTCTGGTGGCTGTTCCCCCTTTTCCTTTCCCAGCTGGGCTTGGGGGCCCAGCACACATGGCCAGCCACTCTGCCACACCACCCTGAAGAGAAGGCTTGTGATGAGACACCGTCCTGCCATGGACCCAGCAGAGACCAGAGCAAGCGTCCCCTGTTGGATGGAGCAACGCAACGACAGAGGAGAAGCGAGCCTAGCAATGCCAGGCTCCATGAAGGTGTGACGGCCCGATGACAGCAGGAAAGGATGACAAAATAGACTGGGTCAGAGAAAACTTTGGGCCTGGCTCTCATGAACAAAATCCACTTGGAATGACAAGCTGGACACTTGGAAGCAAGTCACCAATACACACAAAATACCTGGGCTTTTCAACAGACACCCCTACATGCAGGCTGCTTGGCCCATCATCCAACCCACTGCCGCCGCCCGCTGCCCATCCCTTGGTTCAGCTCAGCTTGAGCCTGGAGGATCAACCCTTCATGTTATTTAGTTTATGTGAGATGTTCTAACCCAGGCGGTTACTTGCATTTCCTTTTACTTGCATCTTCCATGAGGGAGGAAGAGAAGTGAATTCCCCAGGAACAAAGAACTTGATCAGCTCTCGCTTTCCCCTGTGGTTGTAGGAAAAGGCGGGTGTGAGCATTGGAGAACAGCAGGGCCTGGCCCATAGGCTGCCCTGATTGGACTACTATTGACAAGGGGAGGGCTCACTGTCCCTGAACTCCTGGAGACTCTGGTACTTACATGGCACATTCTACTCCAGGGACCTCAAAGCTCTGTTCAGAAACCTGATACCAGGTGTGACCCTTACTGTAGGCAGAGCACCTGAGCCCCAAGGCAGGGAGAGATCAGGCCAGAAAAGATACAAGCCTTTGGATGTTCAACTCCCTAGCTCCTCCATCTCCTCACTGGAGGGTCTGGTCCTTCCTCAGGATGGCTCTAACACTCAACTTCGAAGGCCCGTGGAGCAGGGCTGAGGATGCTTCTGAGGCATGGTCCTCTGGCTCTGACAGAAGGCCCAGGTGTGAAAGCCCCAGCCTGGCCGGGCACAGCAGGGCCAGTCGCCCCATGAGCGCGGCTGCTCACCTTGTTGCTCCAGAAGAGCATTCTGCCGCTTGAGGTCATCAATGTCTTGCTGGTGCGTGTGGTTTTTCCTTCGCATATACTGGATGTACTCTGTTGCTTTGTCTAGGATTTGGGCCCGGGATGCCTGTTGCAATATGAGAAAAAACACGGGACAAAATAAAGACCAGGCCTGAGTAGCGGGAGAACCATGTCTTTCTCTGGCAACAGCATGAGAAGAAAGAAAAAGGCTGAAAACAGGAGGTTGGGCAAGATGGAAAAGGCTGAGGAAAGAGGAAGGGCTAGCTATAGCCTTTACCCAAGGTGTCACGTGATTCCCAAACTTACCTACACAGATCTCAGCTCGAACAGGAAGCCTAGACTCAGAGATCCCCACTGGCTTTTTAAAAAGCCCCAGCTAGACTGTGGCCGGCCTGGGCTTACAGTCTGTCCGACTGAACTTGTATCCCTCCATCTCCTCTGGACCTTTTTCTGATAGCTTTGGTTTAGGACAGGGTTTTAAGGTCAGGCAGGCCTCCCAAGCTGTTGGGATTACAGCCATGAGTCAAACTCTTAACCCTTTGGCTCTTTAAAGTCTTCAGCTTGCCCATGACTGAGCCAGGCCAGCCTTGACCTTGACCTCACTACGTAGCTGAGTCTGCCACTTCAGGCTTTCCCTTTTAAGTGCTGGGCTAATTACTCCCAGTTTATGTGGTGCTAGGAATAAACCCAGGGCTTTGTACATTCTAGACCCGGCTCGACTCCATCAGGAATCAAAACACAAAGAAAACTCAGGCCACATTCACTCTGCTAGGGCCTGGCTACAGGATGACAAGATCATGGCTGGCTTGGAATAAAGGTGGGCACATCTTTTTCCATCACGTCTTAGACTTCACCCACCCTCAGACTGAACAAGGCTCCTGCTGTATCACCATTTTTGTCTCCTGTCTGAAGAGACTGCCATGAAAGCTGTAGGTACTGGATGTCAACACAGGAAGGACATGTAATTGGGCCATCCCAGGAAACAGCCACACCTCTACGATTACAGTAGGCAATCTGGGCCTGGCCCATCAGGGGAACAAGCAATAAAGAAGTCAATAAAATGGGTAACAGGTTACTGTTTACTGTGCCCCTAGAATCAGAGTCTTGGGAAGACTCCCCGCATGGCACAAAGTCAAGCTGAAGGCCAGGCAGCACAGGAGCCTGAGTCTAGCATTCGCTCCAGAGGCTGAGTATTAGGCGAGCTTTGCACAGGTCTGCATTACACCCCAGTGCTCCAAAACCACCCAAAAACAACAGGAAGGGGAAGCAAAGAACACACCAAGACTCAAGCTGGGAAACCTGAATTTACTCCTACTAAATCCTAATGAAAACGGACAGACTAACTTGGGATAGGTGAGGTGAGCTGTGCAAGGCCTGCACTTTACCAGTCCTCGAAAACACTATCATTTCCAGGCTTGCCTCCCCTTCAAGGTGATCTGCTCAAGAGGAAATCATTCATATTCCATCAATCATTTTTATCTGCTAAGAGTTATGTGCAAGGCAGACACTGGAGAAACAATGTATTAGTCATGGCTTCTCTGCCCATAAGCTTATTTACTGTCTCGTGGAGAAGATAAGTAGTATCTATATGCAGACAAGCACAGGCAGTGATGACGAGTGTAACCTGACTAGCAGATTACAAATGTCATTGAAAAGCAGCTTCTGGCTAGGGAGACAACCCACCATGTGCTAGACACTGGCCTTAGCCCTGCACAGGCCCCAACACCTCCACATGAAGTAGTGAGCTCTGCATTAAACCAAGGTAGAGCTTTTGAGAGGAGGTCAGAGCAGCCCAAGGACCCGTGGAGAGGTAAGCTAGGTGTGTTCCTTTAACTGAGGGTCAGCCTGTGTAGGAGGAAGGAGGTGATCCAGCAACAGACACTTCAGTGGGTCTCATTTCTTTAAAGAGGACATAGCTGGCAAAACGGGGAGGGACCACCAATTAGTAAGAACTAATTAAAATACCTTGTCTCTTTGACAGAACTGTAAGTGAAACTGCCAAGCAGGGAATGGCAGGTTGCAGGGCAGGGATTCAGGAGACAGAGCTGTCTTACCTATTTGGACCCACAGACATTCCTGTCCCAGACTAGAAATTCTTTAGCCTCTCTACCACTGACAAGTCCTTATGTATACTTACACCTCAGTCTCATTCACTGAGCCCAGCTCTGCCTTGAAACTGATCTTCCTGACTCTGTCTCCCAAGTGCTGGGATCCTAAGTATGCCAATCTCTTTTGAAGTTGCCTTTTTTAAAGCTGTTTTCTAACAGTTCCCAGAAGGCAGCGTTAGTTCTTAAACACATGTGTGCATCTGGGACAAGGGGAGAAGGCAGTCTGAAAACGAGAGCACTCACAGATGGCTAGGGTCGACTGCTGCTGAGCAGCAATCTGCACAGGCCGGTGTGCTCCCAGTTTCCCTTTCAGAACCAGAACCAGAACCAGGAGAGCAGCATCAGGAGAAAAGTGAGTGGTAAACACAGCAAGCCAGAAGAGGGAACATGGTCCTCTAGGTGACAGCAGTTCTCACTACAGGGCAGCTTTCAGTGAAGACTAAATTATAAAGGCCCAAAACAGCGCTTTGGGAACAGGAGGTCCCTAAAGAAGGCTGGTCTGTTTTTGTTCATTTAATTAAGAAAACATTTTTGAGATAGGGTCTCACTACTGGTTGTCCTGGAACTCACTCTGTAGACCAGGCTGGCCTCAAACTCGAGATCTACCCGCTTCTGCCTCCTGAGTGCTGGGATTAAAGGCATGCCACAGCACACCTGACTGACTGGTCTATTTTAAATCTAAACCCAGTGTTCAAGGCTTCCCTAAAGCTAAATACAACTCAACCCTTCCTCTAGCCCCTGTAAGCTAGAAGCAGGAGTGATCTGGGTCACATAAGCAGGGTGCCCTTGGCCAATCAACAATTCCAGAAAAATGGTCCGGTTCACTTTATTTTGTTGTTTCCAGGATGCTCAAACAGTATAAAAATATAAAAAATAAAATAAAAAATAAAAAACAAAACCAAAAAAAACCCCTACAAGACAGAATGCCACAAAATATGAAATTTACATCCACTCCAGGAGAGAAAACAAAGGTTAAAGTCAGAAAATGCTAGATTCATCTGCAATCTACACACCTCTTTTCCCACCACACAAGACTACATGAACAGCCACAACTGTATGGCATGGGCAGGGCCCTCCTGGCCTTTATGAGTCCATAGTACTCAGACAATAAACATGAAGGGCCTGGGATTTGTGGCCTGGACTCCAGAATGGCTCTAGGCTTTCAGTTTCTGTTTTCTGAAAAGGCTCTCAGTCAGCTGAGTCAACTGACAATGGTCACAGGAGCCCTGTGACCGACCACACAGAGCACGCTAAGTCAACGAGCCCACACAGCACACTGCCTTAGTAAGCACCCAAATCATTTTTTTCTGTTTAGTTTTTAATGTTTAAAAAGCACCAATTCTGCCTTTCCAAGTAGAAATGGCTCTTCTGAATAGTTTGGACAGAGCCCTTGGACAGGAGGGATCGTGGCTGAAGGGACTAAAGTGGTGGCTATGGATATATAAATAGCAACATGGAGAGGCACAGAATAGATGCCGGGCAGCCTTGCCAGTTCTTGTTGCAAATCCATCTCAAACACAGGAGTAAGAATAACCAGTACAGCAGAGAAACAGCAGCGGCTCACACTGAGTGCTAGCTGCCAGTACTACGTACCCCACACAACCTCCCTGCAAGGAGACTTACCCCTTGTTAGTTAGCCTGAAGGCAATATCAGGACGTGAACCCAAGTCTCGGATACACTCCTGTTTAGGAACAGAGGGGCTGCAGCACTAACTTAAAAGACAACCGAACTGCACAGACAGGGTTGTCATGGAGAGGAAGCGAAGGTGAGGACAGCTTCGGGAGAGCCACTGATGTGCCTGCGGGGCAGCCCGGAAACCCTCGTGAAGGTGCTTTCCTCCAAGTAGAATGCACACGGGCGCAGGCCTGGGCTGAAAAGCAATGGCTGAAGACTAGTCTTTCTGGTTAAAAAGTAAGAGGAGAAACACAATAGGCAGTCATAACCACCACCGGCTTGGAAGAGTAGCAGCACCAGAGAACACAGCTGTCCACAGGTGAGACCTGACCGGCTCCCAGCAGAGAAGAAATGCTGGTGAGGAAGAGCCTGCAGATGATGCGAGCAAGATGGCAGGAAACAACCCTGCGACAGGGCAGGGGTGGGAGGGTCGGCTCCCGCAGTGCGCTGCCTTCACCGCCTCTCGACAACCCGGGGGGGACGGGATGCGACGGGATGCACAAGGCACAATGGAGAAGACTCCAGGTTTGTAGACTCCAGGGGCCTGAGGGGAAGGCAGGCCAATCCATCCTCTAGAGGTACACCCCTTTCTCAGAAAACAGCTAACCTACCCACGTTTCTCGGCAAAAATCTACATTTCACATAAGAACTCAAAGCCTTCAAAGCAGCTGATTCTAGTTAGAATCCTAAGGCTTCGTATGATTCCAGAGGTTCATCAACACAGCCACGGCAAGGTTACTAAGTCCTAGTTAAAGCAGTGGCTCCCCAGTCTCCACACAGGGCCGGTGCAGATCTCACATGGAAGAACAGAACACCAAACGCTCTTCCTCTAGAGGCCACTCCCCACCCCCACACAACACACTCTAGTCCTCAGTCTTACCAGACCTACTTGTTTCTGTATAAAAAGCCAAACTGGTTTAAACAATAGGACGTGGGAGGCAAGGTGGAGCACAGTAGCCCCAGATCATCAGCATCAGGAGCACCTCTGCCCTTCCCTGGGGGCCTAAGGCCAGGAGCTTCCTAGTCCGTGCTTCTCACAGCCAGATGCTGGCTGGGCATGGTGGCCATTACAGCTGCTGTAATCCCAGTATCTGGGAGGCTGAGGAAGGAGGATGGCCCTGGAGAGGTGTAAGTGGGGGAGAAGGCAGGCAAGTCCGGTGCACATTTCTGTTGAATAAGCAGCCACTTTCTGCAAATGGAAACCAGCAAATCTGCGAAACAAATGTGGGCCCCTTTAAACCAGTTCACTCCAAAATGGAACCATCAGTGGTAGCAAGGGCAGCTGAAGGCTGGGAAGTTCCCTAAGGGCTTCAAGCTTCCAGG